CCTGTATAGTAATATATAGGCAGATTACTTAAATTAGGCACCAAAAGTGCACATGTAACTAGCTGTAACCTTCTATATAAGAAAACCCTTGAAGGTTTATATGTTTATAGTAATTTGAATAAAAATCACTTGCTAAACAAGCAGAGACTTGAACATAAAAAAAAATTTTTTTAAAGATTTTAAAAAATTAATAATATATATAACTATTTTTTAGAACATAACAGTAGTTTAAAATTGTATTATTATAATTATAAAATTTTAATATATATACTATAACAACTTCATAAAAAAAATTGTATTTCTAAAAACTTTTGTATAAAATTTTTTTAAACTAATATAATATATAGAAAATAATCTGTATTTATCTTATCTTTAAATAAAAATATTATTATTACTAACTCTATTTAATTATTTTAAAAAACCATATAGGACCAATTTTAATTTAATACTATAAAAAAATCAAAATCAAAATATTGATTAATTTTAAAATAATGTTTAATAATTTTTAATTACTTGAAACATGTATATAAATCATATTTGTTTATTAACTGTTTGATTTTTAGCTTATATCATAAATAATCTTGTTTTAGAAAATAAATACTATCAACTGCATCGATAATTTACACATTAATGCTATTTTTTATAAAATTTTCCCTGAAAAAAAAATAAAAAATCAATAAAAATTTATAAGATTCTTCTGGTAAGTCTTACAAGCATATAATAATGTCTCTAAGGTTCCAATAATCCTAATTAAACCTTTGCTCTATTGTTTCTCAGAATATATGTCTGATTTAAATGCTGAACAAAAAAAAATTTATCGAGAAGAAAGTTTAACGCTTCCTTATATCATCAAAAGTATGCTCACGCTTTGGTATTTCATGTCTTTAACTTTGTTGACAAACACCTACTACATGTAAGATAAGAAGTATTATTTGCTTGAACCTTCCATAACAGTTTTCTAAGTTCAATGTAGTTTACAAGAGGATCGTCGAAAGAGTTCAATATATTAAAAACTTTTACTTTATGTTCAAAGATATATTATTATAATAAAATAATTTTTTATTAATAATTTTTTAATACAGAAGTTTATTTTTATTTTTGGTAAAAATTATTATATAAGAAATATAAATGGGTAATGTCAAGAGAAAACCAGATTTCGGGTCTTCAAGTTTATACGTAACTTATTATTTAACGTTAACGGGTTCGGAGGCATATATCATACATAGTTAAATTTAATTATGTATAATATTTGTTGTCATCATGGTCAGAGCTGAGTCTAGTAAGTAACAAATAATAAACTTGAAAGTCCAAGGTCTGGTTTTTCTTGTGTCACTCACGCAAATCAGATAATTAATAACTAAAGCCCAATAATGCTTCATTCATCGCTCGGAAAATAAATTTGAACTCGTCATATAATTTATCATTCATAAATTCTACTTGTCAGTTTCAATCACATCATATCGTTTAATGATATTTTATCTTCAGTCTAGACCTTATTGTTTGCTGCTTTACATAATGATTACTAAAAAACGAAGAAAGTCCAAGAATACTTTAGTATTTGAAAAAGAAGCAGAGAAATTATCAGCACACAAAGTATTTGGTATTAGTGTAGACAATCCATATGCAACATGGCGCTATTTTAATGTCGTCGGTCTTGGGATTGATGCAGATACTTCGGACACTAGCTCTGATACTACTGATTCATCTCATTCTATGAATATTGATACAGTTGAGCGTAATCCAGTTCATATTGCTTCTACAGACAAAAACAACCAGGTGATTGGAAGCTCATATCATTAAAACATCAATATTTTCTTAGAATTATACATAATTGATGGGATGGTTTAAAGTTGTCCAAGCAAAATAACGCGTCATCACTAATATCGATATTTGATAACCCGTTTTTTTCGTAGCCAATACAATCTAGTAGATTAAAAGAAACAGAACTCATGCAGTTACCGTCTAGCAAATTGAAAGAAACAGAATTAATACCATTACAATCTAGCAAGGTTGATGAAACAAGGTTCATACCAAAAGTTTTTATAAACATTATATAAAATATATATACATGTTAATTTATTTGTAAAAAAATTTGATTTGTTATAATTGTTGTTCATTAGGATTTGATTAACGCTCCATTATATTTAAAAATCTAATTGTTTATATAATTCTATATTAAAAAAATTTTTTTTTTGTTTTGAAACACAGATTTACAGCATCTGATAAAATACTTATCAATATAAATGAAGAGAGCCTACCACCAAAGCCGTTTTCATTTGTATATGAATCAAAGATTTTTAGTGACTTGTGGCAGATTGATTGGAAGAAATATTTAGAGATGGATTTTGAAGATTAACATCAATGCTAGCAAAAAGTAATTTAATTATGATTTGTTCCGTTATCTTCAAATTAACATTATGAACATCTTATTTATTTTGTAGATTGATCTATGTATTTCTCTTGTCCAGCGGCTTTGATATAATTTACAGAATGCAACATTTTAAGTAGAATGTCTTTACTTACGAGTATAAAGATAATTGAATATGTTCATTTATTTTCTTTATGGAAATTAATTATATGCATATAAATGTAATGAACACAAGAGCTTATATCAACATTTTTTTTTAAAAAAAAACTTCTACTTCGTCATTCCTGCAAGAAGAATTTGTATTTCAAATCTTTTGACGTCACAACAGCTGTTGACTGAGCATTATAAGCTTTACCTAAAAAGTAAATTGGTTTTGGGTAACAAGTGTATTGTGACAGATTTATTATGTATAATCATTTCACCATTCTGCAAATTATGCACATTCAAGGTGTTTGCAAGAATTGCAAAGACATTCTAAACTATGCCTTTTTCCCAAATATATAAATGGCCAAGACAATACGAACTAAATCTCGAATAAGTTTAAAATATACTCTGATGAGATTATTTAGATATGCAAATTTTTTATAATCAGATGATAAATATATGTGATAAGTAAATTTTTTTCCAGCATAATCTAAATATTCATAATAAAATATCTCAAGCATTTTAAAATCTGAATTTTGACCCTATATGAGATTGGCAATAACTTCTTACCGAAGTTTCTTTCAATTCATGACTAGATAATGATGCGTTAACTATAAACCTATCATGGCTTTATGTATAATATCGATGTAGAGCAGAGTTTTGGGTTCATTTGCTGTTATAATAGACTGATCACGAGTACGGTTTTGAAATATTTCTTTGAATATTATTTACACTTTATAATTCGTAAATATTCATAGGGTAGTTAGACATTAAAAACAGCGAATTTATCATATATCAAAATTACTATTTTTTAAAACTTATCTACTCTATCAATATTACGAATTTCATAATTTTGTAAAATGTAAACAATGTTTAAATATCAAAATTTTAATAAAATGTACTTTAATTTTTGATAGCTATAAAAAAGATTGCACAATTAAACTAAAATATCAAAATCTATAACGATAAGTGTTAATCGATTGCGCCTAAGATTAACACTTTCGTGAGATTGCACCTCAGATGGTCAGCATTAAAGAATCAGGAATAATATGCCTAACGCTAAACTTTTACCCTAATCCTAACTCAGACCGGGAGTCATCTGACGCAAGTATGCATCTGAGGAATAAACATATACGTATTGAATTGTGTGTAATATAAAAATCCGTAAATACAACAATCATTAACTAACTAAACATCAATTTAATTTTTCTCTAAACAGTAGTTAACTTGGCAAAATCCGAACTTTCGTGTCCAGCAACGAATTTTCTAATTTTTCTGCATGTGTCCAAATTTTACCTAATGTTGACCATCCATAATTAGATCAGATATACGTAATCGATATTTATTTCGACAAATACTGCAATAAAATATCGTTAATTAAAAGAGCTAAAATGATATCCATTAAGGTACCAATAGACACTGGTTAAAAACATTATATTTAACTAAATAATACATTGTAATCAGGGTTGGTCAAATCACTGGTCGACTAAAAATTTGTTGGTCGAATTGGTCTGGTCAAATGGTCTAGGCTATTAAATAAATATATATTATTTGTCCAATTTGACCAATACTAAACCCTTTGACCAACTGGTCAAATTGGTCAAACTGGTCAAGCTTGACCATTGACCGGTCCATGCCAACCCTGATTATAATATATTGTACAACTTAATTACTAGGTAATATATGTAGGGAACACCTATTTCCACCATAGAAATTTGCTATTTCCATCATGCTTTTTACACGACTTCAGTGACGAACATACTCATGATAATTATGTCCAATGGTGGAAATAGTAAATTTTCATGATGGAAATAGACGTTCTCTAGATGTATTGTAATATATTTATATATTTACTAGTAAATATATTATATTACCCAGTAATTAAGTTATTATTTATATTATATATTACAAGGTATTATCCAGATTTTGGCGCCTAAAGAGGCCAATAGGTTGATGCCTATTGAATATCATTTTACATATGGTTACCAGATATAGATCGTATCATTTAGAATTTAATGAAGTACTAATTACTGTAGCTACAAAAATCGTCACTAATCAAACACTAATCAGTTAGCAATCAGGTTAAAATCAGGTACCTGATTCTTAGTTGATTTTTTATATTTCGACTATGCTTATAAAGAGTTTTTTTTTAATGTGTTTATATATAATTTGTTTTTAAAATAAATGTGCTTATAAAGATGTTTTTATATGGTGTGCTTATAACGAGTGTGACTAATGTTCACAAAATGAAGTAACTCAATTTTTTAAGGAAAAGCTTTCTACTGCTAATGGCTGAAAAGTAAATCAAGTATCATCCAAATTTTGGCACAAGAGGAGGTCAATAAGGCATCAATTTGGACAATAGTACGCGATAGGGCACCAATAGGGTATAACCAGGGTTGGCAATGGATAAGTCCATTGTGAAAATTATCAATTAAGCGAATAGGTTCCATTGACTCTATTGACTCCATTGAGTTAAAAAATCATATTTATATCAATAATTTTACAAATCAGAATATATAATATATATAATATATATACTATATATATAATTTATAATTATTATGGGGGTCGTCTAAAGCCAGATGTGTTCACGTGACCAATAGCCAATCAAATCGTAAAATATGCTCTTCCTGGCGAGACAAAAACAAAGAAAAAAAGCGAAACCCGTCAAAAATACAAGAAACGGGTATCTAAACCTGTCTTGGGTCATTAATAAAAAATGTCGGGAAACACACCTGGCTTTAGCCATCCCTCTAAATTAAAGGTGCGAATCGGTTTTAATAATTCGGTTATATTACGTAAATTTTGTGATATTTTAAAATTTTATCCAATTTAATAAATTCTAAAATACAGTATGACCTTTTAGCTTTTGTATCAGTTTTGATCTAATAGCTATATAGCTGTAAACCAATATGATTGGCTATATTTATTTCTTATATTTATGATGTTATACAATCTAATGTGAGCCAACCAAATCAATTTATTTTATCTGTCAAATCTGATATTAAGTATTAATTATTAGGTTTGATAAATATCAGGTTTGACTTATAAAACAGACATAGTAGCTCAATTTTTTATCAGTTATCACAGATTATTCATTTTGATAAGATCAGTTTTTGGAGGTTTGACTGTATTACAAAATTCAAGTAATAAATCTGAATTATTAAAAGACTGGGATAAAATTATCATTCAAAAAAGTTTCAAAATTATGTGATATTGTCAATTCATCATAATTAGATTATGATAATAATTATTAGAATATTAACATAATTTATTTAGTAGGTAATTATTTTTTCTTTGATTTTTTAAAGTAAAAAGAGATTGTTAAAAGCAATAATCCAATAAATACATTATTCTAAAAATATATGTAACTAATTTCTATTAACAATAAACAAAAAAAGTATAAAATCAAAATAAAATTATAAAATCTAAACAAGAAAATACAATTGAACCAAAAAATCTTAAAGATTTTATTTTTAATTTTCTTTTAAAGATAATATTCTGATTGTTTATTTAAATCCAGAACACAACAACAAAAAAAAAATATTGAAAAAAACAGATAGTAATAAATAGCTTGATAAAAATATTATTTTATATATGATTGATACAAATTAATATTATTCTATATTTCTGGTTATATTGCTAGTGATGTTATATAACTAAGATTTTATAATCTTACTAATACATCACTAATTGAACTTAGTAATATGACCTAATCATATGACAACATTTTCTTCATTATAGTAAAATAGTATAAAGTATAAATAAATTGTTTTTAATACTTTGCTTTAAAAGCTGAAGAGAGGATTTTAATTTTTAAAGTTCAACAAAACATTTTAATTATAATAATAATTACAGAATCTATAAAATCAGTACTAAACCTTATAGTTTTTTATTACACAAATAAGGTTAAGAATTGGAACTATAATAATATAGTAGAGTATTATCATGTGAAATCTAAATTGAAAAAAAGAAAAAAGATTTTAGATTATATTAAAAAAAATATTTAAAAGATAAGAATTTAGCTTCTGAGTTTGATAAGATACATAAAAGAAATGTTAGAAAAATTCTGGACAACTAAAAAGTATAAGTGTTTTTTGTAAAAAAGCTAATTGAATAAATTAAATGCTTAGTCTAACAGTTATGAACTCTTTGTTTAATAGTTAATGCAAACTGAGACTCTTTATCTCTAGTGATAAACTCTTTGTTTGATACTTAGTACAAACTGTGATTCTTTATTTAAAGGTTAACTTTTAATTTGATGCTTTTTTTTACTCTATACTATTAATAGAAAACTTTTTTCTAACTAACTCTATTTTTTTTTAAGAAATGAAGTTTGCAAAAAATAAACAATTTAACTAAAAGTTCTGCAATACAAAATATTAGAAATCATTTTCAAGATGAAAACAATAAAGAAGTTGTGATTCTTGAAGTAAGATAATGAATGTTATTTTAAGTACAATAAATGATGAATATTGTTTTAAGTACAATAGATTACTAATATATTTTCATTAATGAAAATGTACAAGAGCAATTAGTAATATCATTTATCAAAGAAACTGAAGTATATTAAATATAAGATATCATTAGACAATATTTCTTTTCAATTTTATTTATTATAAATGGTATCTATTCTATGTTATATTAGAGTGCAAGTGAAATAAAACAAATCAAAATCAAAGAACTTTTTAATAATATAAGATGATGTAATATTTATATATTGTGTGAGCTGTTCAGATCATTATCTCAAACAGATGTAAAAGACTTGTTTGAGTCAATAACTCATGATACCACTATTGAAATAAATCTTCCTAAATATATTAAAGATTATTTAAAAAATCTACTTGCTGGAGATATCAATAGTATATTGACAAAAGTAAAAGAACCTCTCAGTAATGATGTACAATCTCTTCTATTATGAACAAGTGAAATCTACAGGCACTTTATTTATTATTATTATTATGGAGGTCTTCAAATAAATGGGGATGAAAAAACCTGATCTAACCAGACAATGTATCAGATGCTTGACTTGTTTTCAATGTTTTTTAAAAATTTGACATCAGGTGTATCCTTGTAAGAAATATAACTTATATCTTTAATCTATATATTTTAATATAAATTGATATATTGATTTTGTTTTATTTTATTTAGCAGAGAAATAATCAATGAAGTGCACAAAGATAGGGTCTGCAATGTTTGCAATATTATGAACACGAGTCAAAATTTAGCAAATATTCGAAGAGGGTGTAAAAATGACGGAGTTCTATATCAGAATCAGAATATAACAATAATATATGAACAGTCTTATGGTCCAACCGAATATGATATAAAACATTATCTAGAGAACATGATTAAACTAGTGCGAAATAGTGTAGATGACTTAAATCAACATTTTGTTCAATATGGCAATTTATCAGTGATGACAGCAAAAAAATTTAAAGCCATTAGCATTCAAGGATATAGTAGGTATCTTATATTTTATAAATATAGTTTAATAAAACTTATCTAACTTTTACTTTTTTTTAGAATGCCAAGTATTTATATATTTTACAGATCTTGTTATGGCAAAGACCTATAGAATGTATGAGATATTCAAATGCAAACTTCCAATATCATATACGGAGCGGTGGTTACTTGTAAGGATCGCAAAGATTTGCTTGTGCTTAGAGGTATATTTTAAACATACAAAAGCATTACATTTGCTATTACTTATTTAACGATTTTTATTATTACAGACATTACTTATTAAACGACAATCTGTGAAAGAAAAAATGTGCGAAGAAGATGCAATTACTAAAAGTGGTCCTAGTTGCGTATCTAATTAGATATCAATTTCGGATAACACTCCTGAGAAAAGGAATAAAAGATAATGCATTAAGATTCTTTATTCATTTGAACCTCTGACATAATAAGTTCAAATACATATGCCAGATGCTTGTGTAAATTGTTTGCCAAATAAAACCTCTAAAGAAACATAGATTTTATTTTCTTGATTCGTATTAAAAGTCTTTAATTAGAAATTGCTATCACTATATCTGTAAATCTCGACAGAATTCGTAGCATTGATATTAGTAATGTGACCCGAAATCTATTGGATTCCATTTTCATATTAAATCCAGTGAATATCTATTGGTAGTAGGGATGGTTAGGTTGGTTCAGGTTCGGTTTATGGTTTGGAACCTTTAAGTTCTATTTCAAAAACCTAAGAACCTTGTTTTTAAAAAGTTCCAAAACCTATGTTTTGAAATAGATCAAAAGTATATCTATAATTTAGACTAACAATTATTCTTTGGACTGCCGTGCTAAATTAATGCGAATGATAAAATTAAGTAGTAAATATTCATGAATGTGAATACTTAGATTAATATGTTCTTTATGCTCATGCACTAATTAATGCGAATAAAATGCAATTAAGTGGTAAATATTGAAATTGGAATAGTAATAAAATTATTTTGAATATTAGATTAAATATATGTTCTTATACTCATCCACTAAATTATCGCGAATACAATAAACAATTATCGCGAATACAATAAACTATACATGGACTTGAGTATCATATTTTGAAGGCTTAGGTTTGTAAATGTTCTTTATGCTCATACACCAAATTAATGCAAATAAAACGAATTATATGTAAATATTTATGAACGTGATACCTTAATTAAATACTAAGATTAATATAAGCCGAACATATTCAGACTTCAAAGATAACACTAGTCGTTATACAGTATATTTATAATCGCATATTAAATATAAATATTTGATAAATCTTCATGTAGCTTAATTGGAGCTATCTGCTTGGATGTTCCGGATTCTTATATGGGTATAATCTCTGCCCTTCTATTCTTGTGTGTTAGAATGCCTTCTATAGAGAAAAAATTACAATGGAATATTTATCATTAGGCCATAATCGGGTCAATTTAGCAATTCTGTCAGCGGATGACCCGTGAGTTGACCCACGGGTTGACCACCTGGGTGGTCATGTTCCTTAATCACCTAAACTCACAGCTCTTTGTAGTGAACCTTGTTTAAAATGAATAATGTATGAAAGAAGTATCATCAACAGATTGAACAGATTGCTGGATTGACTGGATTGAACAGATTCACTAGATTGACTAGATTGAACCGATGGAGCCGATTGAACGGTTGATCTACAACATGCATACAAATTGATCAAAATCTACGTACGGATATGCGAGGTTATCGTTATAGTTAATAATATTCTATTACGTACAAAAATCTTATTTTAAAATATTTTAATTTTATATTATCTTTTTTAAGAATTTCGACTATTATACAACGTTTCGTTTAGAATTTTAATTCTCGTATAAAGGCTTCAATTAGGTTCGACTTTAGTTAGCCTTTCGACCTAAAGATTTAATTTTGGAAATGATCGTCCTGGACCGAAATTTGATTAATTTGATTATAATGTGCAAATAAGTCACGTAATAACGATAACACTTAATAATCATGTCAAATTCAGCAGATTCAGACAATGAGGATTACATGTCTTCGAAATATCTTACAGAGATACCTTTGTCTTCAACTACGAAGCCAAAAACGTACTCGGAGCTCCGTCGTCAAAAGCTCTCATCCAAGTCTGGTTATATAAAACCCTTACGAGAACGGGAAAAGGAGAGTCGAGAACAGGGTCTTTCAAAGCGCATAGATGATAATGCAGACTCACCAGGTTTAAAACTATTAAAAAAAATGGGTTATGAAATAGGAAAACCTTTGGGAAAGGATTCTAGTGGAATCACAGAACCAATAAACATCGAAATGAAATCTGGTATTGTTATATTTGTTGATTGGTTCTATTTTTTTTACGAATGAAAACTAGTACAAATAATATATTCTGAATCTATGATTCCTCAAAAGATAAATCTGGTTTGGGATTGTCTTCTGAGCTTAAGCAAAAAGCTGAAGCGGAACTTTCTAGGAAAGCTAAACGAGCAAAAATTAGTGAAGAGTCATTTATCGAACGTGTGCGCAAAGAACAAGTAGAAAAAAAGATTAACGCACAGTTGAATAAAGCGCAAAAAGTGTGTGAAACTTTAGATACGAGAAAGGTGCTAATTATTTGTTTTATGATTTATCTATGACTCACTTTTTATGATTGATCTAATTTGAATTTTTGGTTTAATAGGGTATAATGGTAACATTAAAATAATAATGTTTTGTAGTTGAGGCTTATTTATTATTATTATAATTAAAAATTCTTTAAAAAGGATAATATATTCTGGTTAAGCAAAGAAAATGAAGAAAGCGATGAAGAAACCTCGGAATTTGAACAACTATCGGTTTGTCTTTTGCCATTTTATTCCATATTTTATCATGCACAATGCTTAAGCCTTTATTTTTTTTTGGTTTACATTATAATAGTCAGCGGAGAAGCTTGACAATATTTTAAAATATATGCGAGAAAAATATAATTATTGTTTTTGGTGTGGATGTGAATACAGTAATGTTGAGGAGCTAGAACAACTATGTCCTGGAATTGAAGACGATGATCATGATTAATTGTCTGATAGTGTCATTTAAGGATCGCAGCTAGAAATTAAAAAAAAGTTTCAGCGAGATAGTTGTCTTGTATCACTTACGTAGACTATTGGCAGATATCTTTTATAATTCAATTCTGGACCTGTACACTTTAACGTTTTTGATTGGTCGTATCCAAAAACATGTAATGGAAATCTGAACTGGTCAAAAGTTCTGTTATACAGTATATTCTTTATACCTATACAGCGGAATAGGCTTGACATTCCGTTATAGACTTCTTTCAGATTTGATTTTTAATAGCCATTAGTAAAATCGCAATTATACTGAGTAGCCATTGGCTGATGTATTATATTAAATTCACTATACGGGTTAGTAATTTTAATAATAAATCAATAAGTGGGCTGATGCAATCGTTTTACTATGTGTTATAACTGTTTTAAACCTCCTATTTAAAGTTTCTGACTCGTTAAACCGATGAATCTGGTGTAGGATGTCTTACACCACATTTATTTCTTGTTTATGTTATTTTGTTGCGTGATCATAACTAATTATCCATAATATTAATAATTTAATTTTTGATATATTTAGGATTAGCTATGCATTTATTTTATTTGACTTATTTGTGCGTAACTAAAATGATTACCATTACCGAGTATTTCTACAATAAACATTGATTTAATCAATTAAAGTTTTAAGATAAATTATTTTTTTTACAATTAATCCTTATTCATATTGATTTTAAATAATACAGTATTGAATTGTAACTTCAGGCACCTGGCGCTGTATTTGCTAAAATTATCACTGAAATTAATGTGTTATGTAGTAATTTTAGGCAGATGCAACTTCAGATGCAGATGCTAACTTCAACCATAAATCTCAAAGTTAAATATATATATGAAAGTTTGCCAATCTATCAGAGATTTTCACAAAAAAAAAAAAAATAGAAATTTGTAAAAATTTTTAATAAAATAAATCTTACAATTCTTAAAAAAATAGGTTAAAAATTTTCTTTAGAAATGTAAAATCTATTTTATTAAAAATTTTTACAAATTTTTATTATTTTTGTGAAAATTTCTAGTAGGTTGGCAAATATATACAAAAGTTCATATATATATTTAACTTAAAAAATTGGATTTTTTAAAATAATGCACCTGCACCATAGTGCACCCCTTATATAATACAAATAAATACACCTAATTGATATATATAATTTATATAACAGATATATATTATACTGTTACACGAGATTATGTGTTGTGTTACACAAGATTAAATGTGTTAACAAAGTTATGTAATTCAACTAAAAAACCTGTTATGTGCTAATAAACTTACTCTAAAGTATAATAGGTGCACCATAATGCATTGATGCACCAAATTATAATTTCCTAAAAAATTTTTTAATGTTTAAGTTTCATCTAAATTTTATACTGCTTTTATATAAAAGTATTTCTTTCTGCTCTTGGTTAGTATTTTATAGTTGGTATTCTTATGTTATATTTTGTGTTACTTTAGTTGGATTTTTTTTAGACAATTTTGTCAATAATTTTTATTAAAATTCTCATTTTTCAAAGAGCATAGATTTGCTTAATATTACAAGCTCAACATCTTGCAGTTACTTATATAAGAATTTAAAAGCAATCTGTTGGCCTTGATCACCTATTTCTATATGTAATAGGGTATTCAGGAATGTATTTAATCACCATCTCATAATAGAACATTGTTAAACTGATATTATTTTTTAAGGAAACAAAAGAAAATTTAAAAGAAACACTAAGGTATAGGGGATAATGATAACAGATACAATCAAGAAATAAAAAAATAAAAATAAAAAAAGAGCACAAAAACCTTTTAGCTGAAACACATCAATTGTGTTGGGTCTTAAAAATTATAAACTATACTAAATATAGTTTCTATTACTATCTTTATTTATTGGATTATTTAACTACAAATGCATATAAGAAAGTTTTTGTCTAATACTGTAGAGGGTCAGAAATAGTTTTGAAGCAATGTTTAATGTTTTTTTTAGCTATATGTACTTTACATGTTTGTTTATCGATTGTGGGTTCTAAAAGTGAACCCTAATCCTAACTTTTTTTCGCTATAGTAATATACTATTTAGAATCCTATCAGGAACGGTATGGCATGTAAACCGTTTTTTTTCTACCTATCAGGAACGGTATTTTTGCATTAGAACCACTTAAAAAAATTTTCAACTGTTAATCATTTAACCATTATTAACGGTCTAATTCAACTAACATTAATCACATTCTCAATATTTTTGTCCAATAAGCAACATAATTCGAATCGGAGATATGGAACAATTTTTATGCTTCACTCTTTGAATGATCAAAACATTTAGAATAGGTAATTTAAGTTATCAAGAATATCTTTCACTAATTCTATTTATTTGCATTCGTTGTGAATATAAGAAACGTTCATTAATTAAATCGCAATTTTATTCTCGCTTTATTAATTTAATAAGTATAAAGAATTTTTTTTAACAGAGATGTTTTAGAATTTTAGAATAAAGAATTCAAGCTATACTTATTTAATTTAACGTTAATGGTAAGTTAATAAATATTTATTAATTGAAGTACAGTTAACCCTCCGTAAATGCACCTCCTTGGAACCATAGGTAAATTTTTTAAAAATGATTTGTGTGCAGTTATTGAAAGCATTTTTTTAAGTGCTCTATATACTTGAGACCGAAGATTAGTGTGCATTTAGAGGGTATACATATTTGAGGGGGTCCAAAATTAAAATCAGAGAATCTTATTTTATTTTTCCGATTTATAATTCAACATAGTAAAAATACTATTAAAAAAATCCTACTTATTTTCAAAATGCGCCACTTTTTGATTAATTTTGAAACCCTTAATTGCGTGCATTTATAGAGGGTGTATTTAGATATAATGGACTATTAATACAACGGAGACTAAGTAAAATCTTGATATAATGGATTTACTAATAAAACTCACGATAAAGCGAATTTTAAAAAATTTCTCACTATGTGCCCGAGGTACTACGTTATATCAAGAGTGACGTGTATTTAGAATAAGTTACTCGAGTTCATCTTTGATAAAGGAGTTTATCGAAGTACCGGTACTTAAAATCAGCTATTCATATTATTCGTGTTAATTCAGTTGTTATTTTTTAAACAGTATCTAAAAAATTATTATTCTTTGACCAATCACGGGTGATTACTATCAACGTTAAGATTAGGGCCTGTACAGGTAAAGATTAGAAGAGTACTTTATGCAAAATCGTTCTACCAATTCTAACTAATGTGTCAAGATGGATTTAGACGCTCGTTCCTCATTTTTTTTTACTTCGTCGGACTAATTCGTGTGAGCATAAATTTTTCGATTTTGATTGGTGGTAGGCATCGGGAATATCGTGATGTACTTAAGCGACTCCCTAATTGGTAAATCATCGCCAAATAAGAATTTTTGTCATGCTACAAGATTGTCTTTCAAAGTATGGCTTTACTAAGATCTCCAGACATAAATCTTTATCGAAATATCTTGAATTCACAATTATTACGTGATTCTTCATTTTTTCTCAAGAGAACATTAACCTCATCTCAATTCTTGAATATCACTCGAACAAATAAAGATTTATCTGTTAATGATTCAAGGTTATACAAGACTCGTAGAAGATTGATAAAACGAACACCATCAGTACATAAGATATCTAAATTAAAGAAGGAAATAAGAATGCAAAGAAAAGATAGTTCAAAACTAGACCAAGTTATCGAACTTGAACGTAAAAGATTAAAAGAGGTTAGTAAAAAAATTTGGGAAAAACAGCCACCACCGCCACAATATCTTTATAATGATGCACGAACCGAACAAAAAGTTGAAAAATACATTGAATGGAAAAAATTAAATGAAAATATACCATTAAGATTGATAAAGACATTCTTGAGTTCATATCAGTACATTAAAGTCAAAAGCCATGGTCCTAAACAGGCATTTATGATATTTAAAGAGTTATTATTAAATAAAGATCAATTAAAGGATGTTCCATTTGATGATATTCAACGACTTGCGGGATACTTTGCGAAAGTCCATCCACGCAATGCGATATTTGTATTGGAAGCTGCATTGGAACATGGGTTTAAGTTATCTTATTCCGATTATCATATGTTGATTGTTTTGTATGGAAAAATCCAAGATCGAATAGGTGCAATTCGAACAATAGAAGAGATGAAACGTCTAGGATTTGAACTTACTAGTGAAGATTACTGTGACCTTCTACAATGCATAATGAATAATGGTAGTGATATTCTGCTTGCTAAAAAATATTTGAATGAGATGAAATCAAAGAATCTTCATATAAGCTATAATGCGTATGTGGATTTGATTAATGGCTTTGTTGAACATAATGATATAAGGGGTGCCGGACAATTATTTATTGATATGCTACAAGAAGGTTTAGCAGCTCCAAATATTTTTATGCCTAATGATCAAAACTCGGATAAGTCAGCGAAATCAAATAATTTAACAAATTGGGAAAAAACCCTCTTAGAACAAATTTATATTATATTTATTCAAACTTTTGTTCATAATGACAATTTACATCAAGCCAAAAAATATTATGATAAATTATTAGATATAAATTCAGCACCAGATCCTGAAATTGTAAATATAATTATAAATTCATGCTTAAATAGAGGAGAAATTATATTAGCAAAGCAATTGTTAAAGCGTACTGTTACAACTAATGTCGAATCTGCTTATATGCAAATATTTAAGAAATGTATTCAAGAGAAAAATTTTTTGACGTTATGGACAATGTACGAACAAGCCTTGGACAAAGAAATTCCATTAAGCAAGGAAACATACTATTTTTTAATCCTTCATTGTTGCCATGAAGGAAGTTCTACGGATGCGTATATACTTTACAATGACGCAAGATCGAAAGGATTTTTAGCAGATAATTTATATGTCCATAATAAATTATTACAAATTCTTGTAAATAATGGATGTCATTCTAACGCACAAAAGATTTTGAGAGAGATGACCGAAGATTTAGGATTAAGTCCTAATCTAGATACATACAGAATTATAATTCAAATGGCAGCAAAAAAACAAGATTCCAAAGAAATAGAGAAAATATTTCACGAGATGAAAGAATTAGGATACTCAGTAGACCAAAAGATGGCCATGCAATTAATTAGTTGCTTGGTAGCATCAGGGGAAATAGAGAAATCAAAACAAACAATTAAATTGATGAAAATGGCAAGGATACATCCGACTATTACGAACTATAACATTTTGATGAAAGCTTACAGTAATATATCTATAAAAGAAGTTTTAAATATATTTAATAGGATTAGGAAAGAAAGAATTGTGGCAAACGCGGAAACATACAATATATTAATAGAATCATTTATGGCTTTTAAAGACTATATCAATGCCAAGAAGATGTATAATTCTATGAGAGAAAATTACATTAGACCGAGCATTGAAACGTTTCACATTCTTTTAAGGCATATATTTGAGACCAAAGGAATAGAGGTAGCAGAAAAAGTATTTGAAGATCAAGTAAACGCAAATATATTTGAATTTGAATCAAGAAGAAGATATGTAAGACCCACGGTACATACATGGAATATAATGCTAGAGTATGCATATGAATCAAAGAATTCTATAATAATAGCCAAAATATATAAAAAAATGCGTGAACACGGGATAAAGTTGATTGATTTAGAACAATACATAAAGCTGATTTCATTTTGGGTAGAAAGACGAGATTTTTTTAGAGCAGAAGATATAATAAATCATATAAGAATTGGAAGGTTTGACGATAATTTTATTGTTAAAGGATATAATGAAATGATGGAAGGATGTTTAGAGCATGGAGAATACAATAGAGCTGAAAGATTATGGAAAATGATTGAATACGAGAAAAGAAAAGTTGACAAAGAGATGTATGAATGTATGCTAAGATTGTATGTAAAGAAAAAGGATAAAGAAAATACGAAGAGAATTTGTCAGAAAATGATTGATAATGAATTTACAATAAACATGGATCTATTAAAGGAATAAGCATATCTATTGATTTTATTTGACGGCGCATATATTAAGCCTAATACTGTAGCATTAATATTGTTTGAACCGAAAAACCATATTTCCATGTAAATACGACGGACAATTTTTGCTGACTTAACAAAGGTAAGGACTCAATTTATTATTTCAAATTTATAATGATAATTATAATGCTTATAATAATGTTTATATCAACTATAGCAAAAGAAAAAACGACATTGAAACGATATAACTATATAAAAAAAAGCCTGATATTTTTCTATAACTGTATGTAATGAACGGTCTGTTCACGTGATTGAATTTCTTTAATGATTAAAGATCACTTACGTACGTACATGCCTTATCGTTATTTCATCCAATTAATTAAAATATCGATATGATTCAATCATTTAATGTCATAAATAGGGTTTTATAGGTTTTATTTTTTCGTATCATAAATCCAGTTTTAAAAAATAAATCAGGCTACTCTAGCCACAAACAGAGCATAAAATGTGACCTGTAACATTATAAATTAATCAGATCACACAAAACAAATTTTAATTGATAATAAAATGAGGCTTTCTATGCAACTTAGATGTCCAATTCATCTAGCGAACAAACTTATATTTCGAAGAAATTTTATTACGAGCGCAGTAATTAATCATGAGAATCCGCTGGTATGAAAATGGATATTTTAATATCGTACATCCTTGAAAGATACATCTTTAATAATTTTCAAATTGGTAATTCTTCATTTACAGGAAACTTTTCAAAAAGAGGCTCAGACAAAAAGACAAATTGATATGGAAGCTCGTATGCGTCGTGGCTTACCAACCAAAAGACCAATTCAAGGTGTTGAGCATGTAATCGCCGTAGCTTCAGGTAAAGGAGGTGTCGGTAAATCCACGTTGGCTAGTAAGTAGCTTGTTATTATAAAGCTTGTCAATTTATTGAACTATCCGTTCTCTTTAAATATAATGATTTACGATGTTACTTGGTATAATTTTTTTTAAAAAAAATTTAAACCAGTAAATCTTGCGTTGGCAATTGCATCTTTTCGTCACCGCGTTGGTATCCTAGATGCAGATATATTCGGACCTTCTATACCTCGTTTATTAAATTTAAAAGCGGAACCTCAAACGAACGAAAAAGGTATATGAATATGACATTAACTATTAATATCCGTATGTGCGTTTCATATTTTTTTTTTAAAAAAAATCAATTTTTATTAAGGAGAGTTGATTCCGCTTGTAAACTTTGGAGTGAAAGCAATGTCTATGGGATTCATTATAGGTGAAGATTCACCAGTTGTATGGAGAGGACTTATGGGAAGTTTTTAATCAGTGTTGTGAGGGTTATTATGTCCGATTGTTTTCAAATCAACTGGACATATGTTCAATAAAATTGAAAACGATTGGACATAATAACTCACAACACTGTTTTTAATATTTTTAATCTCAAAATTTATATGTAATTATGTCCACTATGTCTATTATTTCATTAATTTTCTGTATTTAAATATATATGCTAATATGTATGTACTTAATTATTCATCCAGGTGATGAAAGCGCTTCAACAATTACTTCATCAAGTGCAATGGGGTGGACTTGACTTATTAGTAATTGACATGCCTCCTGGAACTGGTGATACACAACTAACCATTAGTCAACAAGTTGTTTTAGACGGTAGCTTCCATATTACTTAATATTATTTATTGATTTTTGATTTTTGATATGTAATGTGCTTTTGATGTTTTTTAGGTGTTGTGATTGTATCTACACCGCAAGACATTGCTCTTATAGACGCCAGGAAAGGCGCCAATATGTTTACGAAAGTTAATGTTCCGGTAATGTTTATGACTGTTTTCAAATTTTCTGATTGAAATTTTAATATTAAACCATTTTATAATTGCAACTATTCATTATTTAGATTCTTGGGATGGTTCAAAATATGTCGATTTTTGTATGTCCAAATTGTCAACATAAAGTTCACATATTTGGTCAAAATGGAGTATTAAAAACATCTAAAGAAATGGGTTTAGATTATTTAGGTGATATACCATTAGATGCTGATATTTGTGAGTTATCAGATTTTGGTACACCGGTAGTTGTGACTAAACCTGACAGTTATAATGCACAATGTTATAAAGAAATTGCAAAAAAGATAATGAATAAAATTAATTTAAAGCATTAGTCTTTTAGCAAAATTTACGCACCAATTGTTAATCACTAAATTTTTGACCTTTAATATACCTAAATATAATCTTATAACTCAATTATGAGTATATATTAAAGAACGTGTTATGATCGGAAAGGTTTTCTTGAACCAAGGTACTTGACACCTAAAAACACTTGCAATTCCTGCGTATTCATAGCAGATATCAAGGTATTTCCTGTGTGTTCATTGTCATTGTAGTTTATATATGGTAAAAGTTTAATAGAAACACAAAATTTTTTAATTTCGCAAGTTTATAAAATTTTGAATTATTAAAATCAGATTTTCAAAAAATCGGATAATGATAATGTAATCATGACATGACATGAACCAAACTGTTTGTGTGAATTTCATGCTGTTATTCAATTACTTAATCATTGTGAACATTTAAAGCTTTAATTTTATTTGCCGAAATATAATTTTTAAGTTTATTAAGCATTCGTACGATCTTGAGCTGCACGATCTTGAGCCGCAGACTGTGCAGATTGCATGTCGCGTTAGGATTCGATAGATAAAGGATTATTATAATCTGTGAATACTACAAACATTCCTTTCTTCCAAAAGCAATAAAAATCTTTTCATAATTTTCATTCATCTAAGGAAGGTGTCTATAAAATTTTTTCCTTGTCTATCCTTCACTATGTTTGTCGCGTAATTTTCCTTGCGCGATGTACCTATCGATATAAATATTATAGGTGTAGTTTGATATAATATTGGAATATAACCAGACCGCACCATTTTTTTACTTAGTAAATATCTCTTAAGTTGTGGAGACGGTTATTCAGGTTCTAACAGTAGTAAATCGTTAAAAAATATATCTACTATTTTGCGAGACTAGTGAAACTATAAAAACCATTTAGTCGTAAAACGCAATTTACTAAACCAAATTAATCATTCTAACACTATTAAGAACGAAAAAAACAATATACATTTCGTTAGAATTCTAGAATAGGTATACTTTGTAATTATATTTATGCGCTTTTTGTGACGAATTACATCTTTATTCTGTCAAAAAATTTTGCATGTTCAATAACAGTATAGGATGGATGATATTAAAAAATTTTGATAGGGATAAATATATTTATACATTTAAAAGAATTATATACTTATATACAGATCAATCTATTAACATACATATTACAATCTAACAGAAGCTACTGCACTAATATGCTTAATTCTATAATCATCGCATAACTCCGAAAAGAAAAATACAAATAAAAATTACACCTAATTTTTTTTTTTTGTTCGTTTTGTACAATCACAATTAACGTCTGTATCTTTCAGCTTCTTATTTCAACACCAAGAGAATTTATCACAACTTCAATCGTCCCTTAATTCAATAAACGGATATGATAGCTCGGTGAAATTTGGTGCTTTCATCGTCCACGCTAAAGTTTCATATTCCCCCCCGAAAAATGAAGCAATCTTTTCATGAATAAATGGTTTCAATCGTCTTAATTCTTCTCTGCACTCGAAATGCTTTGAACAATCCACTTGATGTAATTTCATCCAAGAATATGAAGGTGAATGAAATGGGAATGTACAAATATCCTTTATACATTCTTCAAATTTTGTTCTAAGATGTTCCGCGGTTAAGGGCGGGAACCTTCTGTCGACAGTTACACAATATAACTTGTTCAATCCTTCAACGTATTGTTGCCTTTGAACTTTTAATTTTTTTTGTGTTGATCTAGATAAACCTTCCAAGTTTCGAGGTTCATAAAAAAATTTTTCGAAATCGTCCAATACCAATTTTGAAGATTCTTTATACACAGAGGAAATTTGATATGCTTCTGCCAATTTTAATGCTTGTAACGGTTCTTCTTGATATGAACGTTTCAAAAACGCTACACAAGCAGTTGTAAGAGTCTCCACGATATACTTATCAGCCAATCTTAATAAACTTGCCACATCTCTCCAACTAATTTCGAAATAAGTGTTTGGATAAAGAAATGATAGTAATTTTTCAACATCGGGTGCTGTGTCACCCCGTAATTCGACTCGAGGGATCGAAACACCGGTATTAGAGATGGCGGTTAGATCTTCAACTGAAGGAGTGGCTGATTGATACATTCCACTAAAGAATTGGGAAGAAAGAGTTAAAATATTTTTGTGAACTCGAAATATTATTTTTTCGACTAATAATTCAATATCTCCATCTTTATAAAAGTGAATTTCACTGTTTCGTGGTATAGGTGTCATGATGAATTATAATATGTAGGTAATTAATAGAAAGGCTTTATTTTTTAAATTTTTTTTTTTTTTGGGATTATAGGGATTCTTAAATATATATTCGAACTTTTTGAAAAAAAAACGCTAATTGCAGATCTGAAAATTTCCAAGCTACACATCGTACTTATATAAGTAACTTTGATACCTCATGTACATATTTGAATTTCATGGAATGAAATGTTTGTTTGTATATACATTGTTTGTACGTACTGTACATGTATTAATGTATTATACAACATATTCGTAGACAAGCCGAAATTTAAACTGAGATATACTGTTTCTATCAATTGTGTGTGGGTTAATTTTGCGCCAATAAACAATAGAATTGCATAAATGATCAATAATGCGGCATTATTTTTATTGTAAATATCCGAAACATTGTATCCAAATAAACACAAAAAGAACCGAAGAACCGAGAATTTTTTTTACTAAAATCAGAGTGGATTTATTCACAAAAGAATCCTGACGTAATCATGCGACAAATAATTATTCATAATAAAGTTAGTTTGGTCTTTTTTTTTTTGCAATGAAAGTGAATCAAATAGACAAAATATGTGATTGGACTATGATCAGCTCTAGCTTTCACTTTTTTAATCTGTTTGTTTACAAGAAATTAAGCAACTTGAGATTATTGCATAGAAAATCATAATAGCATTACAAAGAATTGTTTCACAAAAAGAGTAATTCTAACGTAACTCTTTGAATTTCTGAGAGATTAGGTGCGTCATCCCGTATAATAAAAAATGGTACTTTGTGGTGGTCCTTCACCAATTCGCGATACTTTTCGAATCCACTCTCTCGTGGTCTATTATTAATTTGCATTTTTAAATTTGTCTGTTTTACTTTTGCTGTAAGTTCTACCTTTTCTTCCAAGTAGTTTTTCTTTACAGATTCTGCTGTTTTAACAGGCTTGGCCTTTTTTAACGTGTCAACCATTTTTACACTATTATCACTATTTTTGTCTCTGCTAGGAATAGAATCATTTTGTTCGAAGCATTTCATGACCTTGTGGTTATCGGCAGAGATCGGGGTTTTTGATGAAGGTAGAGAAATACCATATGAATTTAAATGTTTCTGGGATAGCGACTGTTGATAATAACGATGGTGTTGGTTATTTGTCCAAGAAGCACCAAAATAATCTCCAAATTGATTAGGGCAAGATCTCTCTTCGTAGCCTACACTTTTCTGTCTTTTAAAACTTGATTCTTCCTTATAGAGTTGATTATAGTATTGGATGTAATGGTGACCACTATTTCGCAAATAATGTTCACTAGGTGATAAATCTCTGTAAAGGTATCCTAGCGGTTGTTCAGGTGAATATTTATATTTATTTCGATAATTTTCATCTTGATGTCTCTCGTTCTGGAAACTTTGTGGTAAATTGCCATAAGGATTTGTCCATGATGATTTTTCATCTTGATGTCTCTCGTTCAGAAAACTTGGTGGCAAACTGCCATAAGGATTTGTCCATGGTGGACCGTTGGTGTTCTTTTTCCAATAATCATTGACCTTTAAACCTTTATTATAACCTATCTCTTCCCACTTATCATGATGATTACTTGTATAAAGTCTCTGATAATAATCTTTTCCTCGGTCATATAATGAAGGAAAGTGAGAAGAATGATGATGTTGTTCCATGCGCTCTTGATTACTATGCTCCTCCATTCTCAACATGCAGCGCACATTAGGTTGAACCTTGAGGATTATTGATCCTGAACCAATTTTTGTTATATGGAATATATTTGGCATGTGTTTCTCTAAATCTTCTATACGCTATCAATCATAAAAAAAAAAAATGATTTACACCATCCTAATAAAATGTAATTAGATGATGTGTTATATACGTGAATGATGACTAACCAATTCATCGGAATAAGTCAATGCTTTATTATATCGTCTGAAATACTCAAGTGGTACGGTATCCAGAACAATCCCATCTTCATTAAAATCACTAATCAGATTTACTAAGTTTGTTTTTGTTTCCAAATGTTCGAGAGTATCAACGCAACCTTTTTGCTTTGATATATATATTGATTTAGAAAGTTCTGCAATTTTTATTTTATGTGATTGCATCTATATTATACATATTAGGACAAAGTTAGAACAGAGTGAGGCGCGTTGTGACTATAAGTATATGGAATATCTTTTAGGAAAAAATGACGACTTCATGATCCATTAAATATGTTAAGCCAATCAATTGCTTGTGTTACGCTAAAGAATTCTTGATATTTTCATGTATCGATATCGATATATAGTATTTTCAGAACGTTACTCAAAAGAAAAGATACCTTCGCGTTTTGTTCTTTGCATAACAATAAGTCAAACAAAAAAACGACGTTCAGTTAAGAATGTGATGATGAAATAATATATTATTTTGATACATATTGATACGTATGCACGTATGTTAATTATTTATGCGAATGACGCAATTCCATGTCTGGTGAACTATAAATAATGGATGCATATAGTTTAAATATTTTTATAGTATTATTATGCAACATAAATTTAGGCTTTTGAAGCATTCTAGGTGAAAAAAAAAAATCGTATATTTAATTAACGGCAAAACCGTTTAGGCAGCATCCACAAACCAATATTGTTATAGGGATCTTAAACATAATACTATATGGCATTACTGCATTACCATCAAGTCTCTATTTTTGTGGATGCCGCCTTACACACTACCGCTACAACCGAAAAAACTAACTGATGATCATTCGGCCGAAATGATAGCTTTACTAGTCTGCAGATATCGAATAATCAATGATTGTTCTGAATAATGTAAAATTCCGGAAATTGTATAACAATAACGATAATCCCAAAATGGGCTTTAGACTCATGAATAAAATTCAGGGTTGGAAACGTGGCCTGCTGAGTTGGAATTCAATAAAAAAATTTTTATAAAAGTTGACCAATGAGATACGGGATTACATTTTTAAAAATCTGTGAAGACCTGTATTGTTTTTTTTAAAAAAAAAAATTCTGTACCGATTAGAGCTTCGTATTCGTATTCGTATTCGAATAATATTCGTATTCGGCGAATATTCGAATTCGAATAATAAGCAAATTATTCGTCACATGAAACTTCAGTCATTGGCTGCTTTACACATAGTAACTACTATTAGCTGCTTCATAACTAATAACTATATATTATTCGAATAATAGTACTTATTCAAACAATAATATTTGAATAAATATTTGCCGATTTAAATTATTCGAATAAGAGCGGAAAGACTAGATCTACCCGTGGTTTCCCGTGATAATTAACCAATCAAAATACATAATTTTTAATTAATATTACAGTACTAAAAACTTCGTATAAAGAAGCTTACAGACAATAAATAATTGGCTAGATAGATATAATTTTTATTAAAGTAGATAATCATTCAACGATAGCTATCACCCGAAATTCTACCACCTAAAACTTCTGACAAAAATTTGGAATCCGAAAGTACGTTACAAGCCGTCATTCTTGCTGATAGCTTTAATGAACGATTCCGTCCCATTGCCTACGAGTATGATTTTTCTGTGATTAATTATTTCATACCCCACACTATTATAACGTCGCCTCAACCTTGTAGTGTCTTTTATCACTTTGCAACACACCACTCATTGAATATACCTTAGAACTTCTTGCAGTTGCTGGCGTGCAAGAGGCATATCTATTTTATAGAGAACACTCTGAAACAATAAAAGATTATATCAAGTAAGTTTGGCATTTTATATGATCTTAGCGATCAGTATTCTTAGCATTATATAAATTAATAAATTAGATACTTTTTCAATTCAGAAAGTCAAAATGGAGTCGATCATATTCTCCAATAAAAATAATTACTATTGTAACACCTGAAGCACGTTCAGTTGGAGATGCACTGAGAAAATTAGATGTAAAATAGTTAATTACGATTTTATTCTCATATACGGTGATGTACATATCAAATATACATTCAGACAAAGTATTGGATGCTCATAGGTAAATTTTCTGCGGATCTAATGTTTGCATTTTATCCTCTATAATGTTATAATTAATTTAATTTTTATATAAAGGGCTCGAAAATCTGTTGATAATAACGCAATAATGACACAATGGCATAAACAAAAAAAATATAAAGTTACATGCTATATATTTAGAATATTAAGAATATTTTATATTTAATGATTTATATAGGTAGTTAAAGAAGCAAGTCCATTTCACAGGACAAGGTAATTTATGTTTCTTGATTAAGTTCTGAATTTAAATGTTTCATTAAATTTGCAATCTCTTTTTTCAGATCTTTAGGTGAATCCCCAATTTTCGTACTAGATTGGAAAACTAATGAATGCTTTCATTGTGAAACCGTGGAGCTCTATCCGCGTAAACGTCGCACTGCAATAGTGCGATTAATGATTGAAATCATCCAGAAGAATGTCACTCAGGTCACACTGCAGTTGAACTATGGATCAACCGATCATCATCTGGGTGCTCAGCTGGTGGGTAACCACGGTTGACCAGTGGTTACCCACGGTTGGTGCAAGTAGTATTATCGGCAAAAAATCCGAATATAGGGATTTATCATGCGCTTCTTCTGTTTATTTTTTCTTATCTCCAATTGGTTTAAAGCCTACTATTGATAATTACAACAATATCGGGTGTTTGATAAGTCCCTGGACAGGACCTTTTTTTAAATCATTAAATAAATTATTATAATCTATAAAATGCGTGAAACTTGATTCGCTAATATTCTTCAAGTAATAATAATTTCCATAATAATAATGATTTTTACAAATTTCTAATAAGGAACAAGAGTGTTAATTTATCAGAATTTCCCTAACCCATCGAACTCAACAAGGGATAATCATGTACTTAACTCATCAAACTCAACAAAGGATAATCATTGGTATTAATTATCTGAATTAATCTTAATATGTACTATCTACAATATTAATTATAATGTTACAACGCTTGGATCTCATTCGTTTAAGATAAAAATGTATTAGTACATATAAAATTTAATACAAACTAGAAAAATTCCTGAGTATAATATTACTTACAAATGTATATCTCCAGCCACATTGAAATTCTTGTTTTTTATATACTCTATCTGGGCTCGTAGAAGTATTATATCCAATATAGTAGTTAATAGTATGTAACAGACATTCCAAATTGACCTATTATAAGCATTTATCAATGTTAACAGTGTGTAATTTTTTATTTAGTGGTGAGGGTATGCCAAAATCAAATGTTTGGTTTAGGGCGAGCCCTATAGTATAGAGAAATCTGACGATAAACGGCATGCCCAAAAGATGCCCAAAAGATGCCCAAAAGAAAACTCCTCCGGAATCGGTGGCCTCTACCAATGACACAAGTAGAGCGCTCAAATAGAGGACTTGGAGTAGCTATCAAGTTGTCATACAAGGTAATTCTCCTAGTCGACCCGCAACTATGATCACGACCCACTAGGAGTTGCCCTTATTACTCAAGTTACCAAAGCCAGTTAGATTGAATAATACTTTTGATTCTGCTAAAAAACATTCCCGCCAGGAATTATTAAGGTCGCGCCAGCAGGTGGTAGCTGAAGTGGTGATAATAATCACGTCTTGATAATGAAGCAAAAAGCCACAGAAAAATTTGTTTCTGGTTTGGCTCAAATATAGTATAAGTTCTTTATGACCAGAATATTTTTTTAGACACGTTGATATAAAATAACTAGCTTTATTAAGATGCAAAAAAATTAAAAACTCTTAAACATGTAGTTCCTTCTTAAATAACGCGTATACTGCTCTGGATAAAAAATCTTAATTTATCAAATTTGGTTATCTTGTATTTCACAGGCGCGTTACACATGCATTGGAATTTTCTATAGCTTTCGAATTTCTTCTGATACATGCTATCAATTACATTTTTCTTCATACAATTTGTGATCAGACAATATAGGCAAAAGATTGTGATGCAAATCAATTGCCCAGGTAACTTATTTATACACTTTAAAGTACTTTTTGGGAATGTAACATTTCGCTAATAAAAAAGAAATTTTTTTTTACATATATCGCTTCATCTGAGTGCTGAAAAACCATCTTTAAAAATAATCTTTTATAATCTAAAATTCAAAAAGTGTTAAAATAGGTATAAGAAAAGCATGAAGTTAGTTTTATAGTACTTTTTCAAAACAGATCATTTCATTACATTATTAATAGAAATCATTTTAAGATCTATTTGTAGTTTTAAAGTACTATCAATATTTATTATGCAAAAAAGTTCTCATTTTTAACAAACTTCGTTTAGAAAGCAAAATATAATAAAATATATCTTGTCTATTAGATCTTGCAAAAAGGTGACTAGAAATATTTTTGTTTAAAAACTTATTATGTTATATTAAATAAATTTTGTTTAATTTGAATAGATGCAAGTTAGTTCTTTAATAATAAAAAGACTTAGATTCAATATTTAAGTTTGCTTCTTTAGTATATTTAGTATATTAGAATTGTTAATTGTAAAATTTTTAAATTATATTACATATTGTAGATTTTTAAATGATTTTAGGTTTATTATATAGTAATAAATATTATATTTGTTTTGTTTTATATATATATATCTATTTTCTAAATATATATAATAAATTCTTTTGTATGTATTTATTAGTTTGTAAACTTTTTTGCAATTTTTTTTTTGATATTAAGGTGACCTCTTTGGTCTTTTGACTTTTATTAATTACTTATCAGTATTGTGGTTCAATGAACCACTACAGAAGAGCATACAATTAGCTATATATATAACTATTCTATATTACCTATTTAAGAAGTTCACTTAAAAGTTCTCTACCAATTGCCATATCTAACACTTCTGCTTGGGTGTTCTACTTTAAACACTCTAAACCTATAACCTGTGTTAACTCACTGGGTTATACCCAGATGCTCAAATTATCATCTCAACCTTAGAACTAATTTATCCTTAAGGTAAACCTCTCAAAGCTTTCTGTATCTATTTTTACAGTTGATCTAGATATTGCTATAACAGAACTAATACTTGTAGTCAGGGCTTAACTATTAAACTGCTATGCCTTTGTAAAGTTTACTTAGACCCAGCATCTACTTTACAGCATAACCTTAGTATTTTAGTATACTCCTGAATTTTATCAGACTTCCAATCCAGATAACTCATATAGGATTATGATCAATTTATTAGCATATTACATTAGCCCAATATCCTTTTCTTCTGGTTTATTTTGATAACCTAGTTGGTAATATCTTCAAGATTCTCAACTCAGAGGTTTTTGCCTATCTGGTTACTAAGACCTGAGTATCCGTTTTCTCAGGCTAGCCTTTACAGTAGTGCTATTAAAGATCCAACTATCTTTTTATTCAGGTCTTTCTAAATGGATTTCTTGTTATTCAATTTCAATAAATTTACATAGTTACAAGGACTTATCTAGTATTTGCATCATCTGATTTGTCATTTTGCATTCCTTTGTATAACTTCAACATTGTACAAATGCCTCATGACCTGCTAGTCATGCTGGTGTGACTGCTATTACAAATATCCTAACCTAATTATTAGTAATAGTTGCCATAATACAAATATTACATAAGTAATTATTCAAATTTTTACTATTAATAGGATTTGAACACCCAACCTATTACTTGGAGAGTTGACAATCTGATTATTTTACTAGGTCATTACATCTCTTCTTTTTTGCATTTTTTTATTTTTAATATTAGTAGTATTAAATATAAAATTTTTGTAAATTATACAATTTAATTGATTAATAATTATAGAAAATTATAAATAGATTTATAAAAATTATTTAATTAAATAAACTTTTATTTATATAATTAGATATTTAAAAAATATATATTAAGTTAAATTTGAATAATCATTTAAATAATTATTAAAATTATTAAGCTAAAAAAATTATATATTTATTATATTATTAATTTATACAAATAAAGAATAGTAATTCTAGTATAGTAGTTGAGTTGTTATTCTTTAAGTAACAAGTTAATGTTTAAATCTCATCTATAACAAAACTTAAAAATTAATCTGTATTATAGCAACTGCCTTTTGTTAATTAATTGGCCTCATGTGGCTGTAATTCAAGTATACTAAGTAAGGTTCTACCTATTATTGAAAGCTTAAGACATCTATATAAAGTGTAATATTATATATACATAAAGAAATATTATTAATCAGTATCATATAAGACTTTAGTGTAAATCTATAATAAAACCATTGGATGTAAAAGACTAAGAAACTAAGAAGCCAAAAATGAACTTGAAAATTTCTAAATAAAGTAAACAAAATTTTTGATATTATTATTGAACTGATTAAAGCTTACAAACTACTTTTAAAGAAATAAATTAAATAAATTAAATACAAAATATATATAAAGAAGTATATAAACCAACTAGGTAGTCAGATTTATTAGAAAAAAAAAATACAAAAGTATACTATCTAAATTGGTAGTCTGGCTAAAGTTTATTAGTTCTAAATAGTAGTTAGTAGAAGATAATAAAAATAATGTCAAAAAGATGGCTACTAAGGTTTTAGTAAACTTTACAAAAGTAAAAATAGTATAATGTAATAATTAAACAGATAATTTTTGTAATTGCAAGTGTTCAAAAACTCTCTCTGATGATCACTCGTACTGAATTTTTTACAAACGACAAGCAGAAATTTGTTAGAAAGAAAAGGAAAGGCTTCTAGTTTAGAACGGTTTTTACAAAGGTCAACTTTTTGTTTTCCTAGGGACTCCTTTGTATATTTAACATGCAAGCCAAAAGCATTTCTG